TTAGTTTTCAGAATTTCCTGTAGTGAAATTCTACTGCTGAATTTTCTATTTTACTGGTTAAATATTCTACTGGTGAAAATTCTTTTTCTTTCGTTAAATAATATCTTTATTTCTTATTCATTTTGAAAGATAATCTCATGTTTAGAATTTAGGGCTTACATTTCTTTTACTTAAGTAGTTAAAAAATATTTGGCATTTCCTTCTGGCCTCCAAGGTTTCTTATGAGAAATCAGATGCTATTCAAATTGTTTTTTCGGTAAGGTGTTCCTTTCTTTCTGTTTTCAAGATAATCTGTCTTTGCTTTTTAATCTACTTATAGTGTGCCTTGGTGCACACATAGATTTCTTTCTTGGAGACCTGTTTCTTGCCTAGCAACTTACATACTTTATTAGGTCAAACAGGATGTGATTTGCAAGTGTAGGTGATCTTCAGTCAGTATTTCTTTGAACCTATTTTTAGCACCATCTTTTTTTTTCTCATCTCTTTTTAGGACTACAGTGACATGAACCATAGATCTTTTGACCCTGAGGAAATGTTAATTTCGTTTTGTTGTATTTCTTAGTTATTTTCTCTGTTCTTTGAATTGGGTCTTTTTTGTTGTTGTTTTTATATCTTCCACATAGTTGAGTTGTTCCTCTTGTTTTGAATTGTTTCCATTTGGCAATTGTTTACATTTGGCAATTCATCTATTTGTTTTTAAAATTTCAAGAATTTTTTCACACCCTATTTATGTTTTCTCTTACTCTAGATCTGGAAAATCCAGAAACATATTTTATATTGCTACGAAAGGAAAGGTATTTTATTATCTTAGTTCTACCCTTTGAACCTTACAAAATAAAGACATAAAATGATCAGTTATCTGAAGTGAAAAGTACTTCAATGCTAAAAACTTAGTAGTGTAAGACTACTTTCACATGATTTACATGAGTACTTTAATTCTTATAGTAACACCAACTTTTACTCATCCAACAAATATTAATTGAATGACTTTTGTAAGACATTCCTAATTTTCACCCCATTGTAGTCACTTTAACTTCAAATTATTAAACCTCTGTTCTTTCATTTATAGAGGAAAGAGCTACGTCTCTGTTCCTTTTTAAAATAAGTTGCAAGCATAAAGGAGAAGAGACATTGTGAACTGAACTTTCACATCTTATAAATTTGTCAACAATTTTCACTTACTGTATCCACATTTAATCGAATCCAGAGATTTTTCAATGTTTTGTTTTGGAATTGTAGTATATGTTGAAAGGTTTTCCGAGATACAAATACCTTCAATATAAATACTGCCTTTTGGGTAGCGATAAATAATAATTGCCTCTTTGTATCATAAATAACTTGGGAAAATTGCTGAGCACATCTCTAGTGCCTGAGTAGAACTTCCTCCCTACAAATTAAATTCTGTAATGCTAGTATAATTATGTTATTATTAACTGTTAGCTGTTTAAAAGAATGATGTCTAGTCATTCTCCATAAGTTCATAATCAACTGGTGAGCTTTTTAAAATAGAAATCACTAGACCTCACCTACAGAATTTCTGACCAACTAAGACTAGGATAGTACAAAAGAATTTGTATGTACAACAATTTTCAAGTGATATTTATTATCCTGGACTGGAGCGATAGCACAGCAGTATGGCGTTTGCCTTGTGCAGCCAGCCTGGCCGAACCGGGTTCGATTCCTCCGCCCCTCTCGGAGAGCCCGAGAAAGCTACAGAGAGTATCTCGCCTGCTCGGCAAAGCCTGGCAAGCTACCTGTGACGTATTCAATATGCCAAACACAGTAACAACAAATCTCAAAATGAAGACGTTACTGGGCCTGCTCGAGCAAATCGATGTTTTGGGGTGATTGCACTTGTGTAACAATTCAGATATACACACATTTTCTATTATAGCACAGTGGTAGGGCATTTGCCTTGCACACAGCCAGACTGGCCGAGCCGGGTTCATTCCTCTGCCCCTCTCAGAGAGCCCGGCTCGCTACCGAGAGTGTCTCGCCCGCTCTGCAAAGCCTGGCAAGCTCCCCGTGACGTGTTCAATATGCCAAACACAGTAACAACAAGTCTCAAAAAAAAATGGAGACATTATTGGGCCCACCCAAGCAAATAGGTGAACGACGGGAGGACAGTGACAGTGACATTTAGTCTTCAGTTTCTTAGTTTCATTATTTTTCTAAATTGATTTTAATCTTCTTGATCTTTGTGTTCCCAAATCAAGCACGTATTTTTCTTTCTTCAGTTTACCTAGTATGTAGAAATCCTTCCATACTGTTCATTTCTCCTACTGATTTTTCTTTTGATTGGGAATCCTTCCCTCCCTACCTTCCTCGTCTTCTCCTCAATCAACAGTTAGGCTCCTCTTCTGTTCTTAAATGATATTGCTCTCTCTCTCTCTCTCTCTCTCTCTCTCTCTCTCTCTCTCTTTCTCTCTCTCTCTCTCTCTCAGTTTGTTTTTATTTTCTGGATCACAGCTAGTACTGTTCAGGGGTTTCTCCTGTAATTGCTCAGTAATTGCTCCTGGCAATGCTCAAAGGACCATATGCAATGCCAGAGATAATTAGGCCACGTGCAAGGCAAATGCCCTTACCTCTATACTGTTACTCTGGCCCCCTTAAATGATTTCTCTGTTCCTGTCCATATGCCAATAACATTCAATTTACATCTTTTCTCAGACCCTTCTTTGAGGCTGCACTATAGCTTAACTAATTGATTTCATGCTTCTCAGTTGAAAGAATTACAATTAGTTTGAATAATATATCCAAAACCAATTGCCACATTTAATAAATTCTAAAATGCATTTTAAAAACCATTTTAATACCTATGACTCTGCAGCCAATAAAATTTTAAGTTCTGTGAAATAGAATAATTCTTTCCTGCCCCTTCTGGGATAAAACAATTTCCTTCTGGGGCTGGAGCGATAGCACAGAGGGTAGGGTGTTTGCCTTGCACTCAGCCAACATGACCAACACAGGTTCGATTCCCAGCACCCGATATGGTCCCCTGACCACCGCCAGGAGCAATTCCTAAGTGCATGAACCAGGAGTAACCCCTGAGCATCGCCGGGTGTGACCCAAAAAGCAAAAAAAAAAAAAAAACCAATTTTCTTCTCCTCCAGCCCATATATTGTCTTTCCTTCTATTCCTCGGTTTATGTCAGAAACTTGAGAGTTATCCTCGACTACTAAATCTTTTTAATACTCTTAGCTTCTCAAAACCTTTTAACTCGGTGTCTTTCTATCTTCTCTCTGTTTAGTATGTAGATTTATCTTTTTAAAATGTAAATAAATCAATTATGTCATTTTCTTCCCCGTATCTCCCTTCTTTCCTCCCTTGAGGCTGCTCTTGGCTGTGTGCTCAGGGATCACTCCTGCTGGGACTGGGGGTAGCAGGGATCAGTCCTGGGTGGCTGTGTGCAAGGCAAGCACCTTACCTATTGAATACTATCTCTTCTACCCCTCATTATCTTCCTTAATGTCCTCCAATGAATGGAATGAATAGACTACTATTAAAAAAAAGGCTAACGGGGGTTTTGAAAATCCTTCTCAGCTGGTTTGGTCTTACTTACCAGTCTTGTCTAGCACTGTCTTCTTGTGTTCTTTGGTTCAGACCCCTTGGTGTTTTCATCAGATCTCCTATATAACTTGTTGATACTTATTCGAAAACTTTGTCTTCCACTTTTAATTAGCCTAACTTTTCATCCTTCAGGCTACACATTTTATTTCTTATCTTAAACATCCTTGTTTAGAAGTGTTTATTCATCTCAAAATCTTAATTCAATCATATCATACTTTCTCATAGTGTTTTGTTCCCTCCTGTGTCTCTCTGTTTGTTGTGTTTATCTCCACTATGTTGTTTGACTTGGTTTTGAATCTTTAACTTATAGAGCTTAGCACTCACTATGAATAGTAAATGGAGGGTGTGTAGTGAATATTTTTAAATAAATTATGAACAGATTTAAAAATATGTGTGTACACATAAACTAAAAAGAAAATACTTTTCAAATTTAAGGCAAATAAGATACACACTACTTTGGGAAATAGAGTTTTTAAAAATTTTACAAAATCATTTTTTAAAAACTATGTTGAGAATGTGGTTTCTGAAAAAAGTTGAAAAATTATTTCAAAGATTAGTGAATTATATTTGAGTAAAGTTTGTTTTACTTTTATAATAGAAATAGAATGAATGTCTTATCATTTTAATATAAAATTGATCTTTTTTGTAACCAATTTCTTCTTCTTTTTTTTAAACATTCCTATGTTTTAGGTGGTGGCAGTACTATAGAAAAAATATTACATTCGAGGATCTACGTTTAACTTCCTTTTTGTGATAGTGGTTATTGATAAACCACTTTTTAATTTTAAAATGTTCTTTAATCTTTGGAGAGCAAAACCTCCTCTAGGCCAGCATGAAATAAATAATATAAGTAATACATATAGCTATTAGTCCTTTTTTCTTTTTTAAACAATATATATATTTTTGTTTTTATTCCTATTTATTGTTAGCCTTTCCCCTTCTTTCAGAACTTTTATTTCTATGATCTGCTAGAGTACATAAGCTTTATATCCAGCTTTCTATAAGTTTTACTCATTTGGAGTCTTAGCTTTCTCTTGGAATATATATATGTGTATGTGGATATATATATATATATGTATATATATATCCACACATACATATAGTGAGCCCTAAGACAAAAGTTCTTGGAAGCAGACAGAATCACACAGTTGAAAATGCTTATAATGTCTTTGTTCGTCTTTTCTTTCGCCGTCTCCTTTACTGCACTCTGTCTGTCCCACTTTCCCAGGAGACATGGATTACAACTGGTTGGACCATACGTCTTGGCATAGCAGTGAGGCCTCCCAAATGTCTTTGGTGAGACATGGGGAGCCTTACTATTTAATTTTCGTTATCATTCCATTTTCCCTTTTTTTATTTACGTCTTTGCATGTTTTCTTTTCTTCCTTGTTTCTTTATTTTATTATTATTTTTTTATCCCACACCTGTAGGGGACAGTCAAAAGGGAAAAAGAAAAACTAGTGAGCAGGCAGTTCTGTCGGACTCTAACACCAGGTCTGAGAGACAAAAGAAAATGATGTACTTTGGTGGCCACTCTTTGGAAGAGGATTTGGAATGGTCCGAGCCTCAGATTAAGGACTCTGGGGTAGATACGTGTAGTAGCACAACCCTTAACGAAGAACATAGCCATAGTGATAAGGTACTGAGATCGTGGCGCTGCCTTTTTTACCTGCTCATTTGGTCTTCGTTTGCTCTCTGTCACTCATTAAAGCAGAACATAATGAAAGGACAGGGCATTGTAAGGGTCAATGTAGCATTTCTTAAGGTGCAGAAAAGAAAAACAAAACCGAACCAAAAAACCAACCAAATTACTTTGTGCTTGCTTTGCTGATTTTTAATTTGATGGCATACCAAAAAATAAGTTCAATGAAAATAAAAATTAGGAACAAAGGAATGTTCTGTTTATGGTCGCATGAGAGAGATTTGTAATGTTATTATAAATCACAAATACAAAGACTTTTTGGATTGGCTTATTTGATTGCTTGCCTATATTTTCCTTGGGATGAAAATTAAATTATTACTAGTTTGAATCCCAGGTTAAAGGGAGATAATTGGGTCTCTTTGCACAGAAAAAGTTGTTTTTCTTTTTTCCCTTTCACTGTCATTTTGCTCTTTTGTTTTATTGTCAAAGCATTTTAATGTAGTATCAATTAGCATTAACCATTGCCATATGCTTTGGTATTTGTTATTTTTTGCTTTTAGCATAGTGAGACTTGATATCTTTTTATCATATAGATGTGATTGCTGGAACTCGTCTTTTGCCTGCTAATGCATGAAACGATGTGCATGTTACTTTTAGATCACCATGAAACTGTGATTACACAAATCATTTACTTTGTTTTTTGACATATGATTGACAATGGACTGGTGCAGTGATATTTATCAAGGACTTGATTCTCCCCCTGAGAAAGAAACTGCTACAGTCTGTAGGTTATTTAATAAGGGATACCATTGAATCACTGAACGTTAACTTTCTAACTTGAGCAAAGAGTGAACCTCCAAAACGTGAGACGTGTAATATGTCTTCACCTTTGAATGAGTTCCATTTCTCCAATGCAGATTGAATTGGAAAGTTATTAGGGGCTTGTGTAATTTTTTTATAATTTTAATCTAGCAACCTGTTTCAAAAAACCCCTCATCGTGTCTTTGAATTTTATGTTTTAATACAGCTCAACCTTGTAACTTATGCCATAATAAAGTTTTTGGAAGCCTCCCAAAAGTGTCTGAAGATCAAATTCATATTTTTAATGAGTAAAACTGCATATAATTTCAATTTGTCTTTTCTGCCTGTGAATTCTAATTAGTCCCCAGTGTGTGGATGAATTAGAGGTTTGCCTTTCTTTTCACAGTTTCTCAGATTTTGAAGTTCAGTGTTCTGCAAAAGAACTGTTTAAATATTTGAATTTAGAAAAAGATCTTTTGCTTATACAATTGAGATTATAAGGTAATAAGCCTTCTTGGTCAGTGTTTGGAATGGAAACTGGTTTGTGTAATCATACTATTTTGGAAATTTTAAGTTTAGAGTTATCATACCATAAGGTCATTTATCATAAAAGGTCATTAATTTTTTTTGTTTGTTGATGAATTCTGTCAGCACCCTGTGACATGGCAACCATCCAAAGATGGAGATCGTTTAATTGGTCGAATTTTATTAAATAAACGTTTAAAAGATGGAAGTGTACCTCGAGACTCAGGAGCAATGCTTGGTTTAAAGGTATGTACTGAACTAAATGAAAATTTTGCAGATTTTCAAAAAAAGCAAAAGATAATTTTTTTTGGTTTGTTTTTTGGCGTTACCCAGAAGTGCTCTTGGCTTACTCCCGGCTCTGTGCTCAGGGGCCACTCCTTGTGGGCTTGGGGAACCATATGGGGTGCCGGATATAGAACCCTGGTTGGCTGCATGCAAAGCAAGTGCTGTATTATTGCTATAGTCCTAAGATAATAAATTTTTATGACTACGCCCATTTTGTATTTTATTTTCAAGAATCTTAAGATAATTGCACTCATTATTCCAAATATGTTCATTTTCTAACAATTATTTCAGAAGTTGTCATTTTTCTACGGCAATACTTAAAGTACAATTTTAGAAAACATAATCTGAGTTGTACCACCTCAAACAAAACTCAAGCATATTTTAGCTATCCAGTTTGTCCTTTTTTTTTTTTCTGTTTGGGTCGCACCTGGCAATGCTCACAGGTTACTCCTAGCTCTGCACTCAGGAATTACTTCTGGCGGTGCTCGGAGGACCATGTGAGATGCTGGGAATCAAACCCAGGTCGGCCGTGTGCAAGGCAAATGCCCTACCCGCTGTGCTATTGCTCCAGCCCCCAGTTTGTCCTTTGTGTCATTGTGTTTATAGTCTATAAAAATGATGTCATTGATTTCTATGTATGTTTTTTTTTTCATTTCATCATCCTGTTATTCGTCGATTGCCTCGAGCAGGCCCCAGTAACGTCTCTTTCATCCTAGCCCTGAGATTATATTCAAGGCTATTTAGGAGAATGAGACCCATCATTGTTACTGGTATCTGGCATATTTGGTATGCCACGGGGAGTTTGCCAGACTCTGCCCTGTGGGCAGGCTACATTCGATAGCCTGCAAGTTTGTATGTTAACTTTAGAAAATATACCATATTGTACAGGTAACACAATTTTGGGATCAGCATAGCAAAGTGTATTTTGTATTCTTGTGTCTGAGAAGTTCAGAATACTGTTTATGTTTAAGCCTGGAAACTCAAATACTTAAGCTAGGATAGGAGCTATATTATAAATATTGATTTACATTTTACCTTAAGGTACCAGATAATTTTTTGGAAAGTACACTAAATAGAGCTCTCTTTACTTTTGTGCATCTGTACAGCAAATATAACACAGATGTAATAAAAGAGTAAATGTTTCTGGAGTTAATCCATAATGACATGTCACCCATGTTGGGATTGTTCGACTTTAGAAACTAGAGTATGTGAAATTGTACACTCAGCATTTATTGGGGTGTTAATACTCACCCTCCAAAAGAAATGGGCTTTGAGAAATGTCACTTTTCCTTTGTTACAAAGATGTGATGATTGTGGAATTTGATTATAAATCTACCTGTAAAATGCAGAGTAGTATAGAGGCTAGGAATTGTGGCTTGAATTATATGCAGATAGTTACTATCATGCAGTAATAACTCTCCGCATTGTAATAAACAGCTAAACGTTTTAGCCTCATTTGTATAAAGGAGATAGTATTTATTCAGTTGTTTTAATAAAATCAAACAGAACACTGCATGGACATTTTGTTCAATGTCCGTCATTACGGTAAGCATAAATTGTTAATATTAAATCTCATGATGCCAAAATGTAAAATATTAATAAAGAATCTGTATATTTAACTTTAAGTGTCAAATACAGGAAAATTAATAGTAACTGAAATGTTGCATAGTAATCCACTGAAAATTAGGTACGAATACTTGGACTAAGATAATAAAAGTGATTTTTTAAATTCAGATACTTTCCACTCAGAAAAAAAAACAATTGTCAGTGAAACTTGTGATTTAATTCTGTGACTTGTTACATAGTTTATCCTTTAAATAGAAGCTGATCGAAATCATAGCCTTAGTTTGGGAAGAGCTCAGTATTACATATAATCATTTAACTCTATTTTTCATTACTCTATATTTCATTACTCTATATTTCATTACTATATTTTTCATTACTATATATTTTTCATTTATTACTATATATTTTCATTTATTTCATTTATTTCATTTTTTATTTCATTTCATTTATTTCATTTCATTTATTTCATTTTTTCATTCATTATTTATTTATTTCATTTATTTTCATATATTTTCATTTATTACTATATATTTTCATTATTACTATATATTTTCATATATTACTATATATTTTCATTCATTACTATATATTTTTCATTACTATATATTTCATTACTCTATATTTCATTACTGTTAAACTGTTTTCTTTCCCTAATATGTATATATATTTATGTCTCAAGTGATTTTATCTATATGTAAGTATGCATACAAATTTATATATATAAATATATATTATATAAACTCAGTAGAAACATAAAGTTAGAAAAGTTGGGATGCAGGTGATCTGCAATTCTGAAAAAATGAAGGAAAATTTGTAAGTTTCTTAGAAAAAATCCATCATCATTGATGCAGATAATCAGTTTACACAGACTATTAATTAAAGAAATTTTGGTTGGGTACCATAGTTATAGTACAAGGAACAAATTATTTATGGTATTTGAAACATATAACTGGGAATGTCATATAGTATATAATGACATGCTTAAGAAATGATACAATTCTGTATTAAAGACAAAAATGACAAGCTGTTGTTTATCAGGTATGTGAAATTTTAAGAAAATAGGGTATTGAAAAGCATTTGGAATATGTGAAATGAGTCCTTTCTTAGGCCATTGACACAATTTCTAGTATTAATACTATCATTTTATCCATTTTTAGCATATTAAATTACTGATTTAAGAGCTTCAAATTATCTTATTTTTTACTTGAATCTTTAACATTGTTCTTCTGAACAATATGCCTGTTTCCTCTTTTAAACAGGTTGTAGGAGGAAAGATGACTGAATCAGGTCGGCTGTGTGCATATATTACCAAAGTGAAAAGGGGAAGTTTAGCTGATACGGTAGGGCATCTTAGACCAGGTAGGTTTCTATTTTGTTTTGTTTTGTTTTGTTTTTTTAGCTTGACGCTGTTAAACTTAAGTAGTTATCGAAAATGTTTTTCTCACTTTGACCAGTAACAAATAGCTCATTTCACCTAAATACATAATCTTATTCATTAATGGAAAGTTGTATGTTGTATTTCTTAAGATGAGATTTCTATGTTTATTGATTTTTTTCCTGATAGATATTCTTTTTCTGGTATTAACCAAATTTGCTTCCCAGAAACTTTGTATCTTTAAAAAAAATTATAACATGGTTTAAGGAACGAATTCCAAGGCTAAATATATATTTCCTAAAATGAGCCACTCCTATCTCCTTTGGATACTATTGGCAAGTTTCTTCAGAGCCTTGGGCAGGAATTAATCACTAACTAAGTAGTAAGCTTTGTATGGTAGCATGAAGACATGCACAGCTTACTCAGGGAAGCTTAGAATACAGTGCCATAAAATCTCGCAGAGGCAATTAAACTTTTTTATTTTTAATTTTATTTCATAAAGTTGTTCACAATAATTGATTACATTCAATATTTCAACACCAACTTCTCACTACCATTTTTTAAAATTTTCCCACCGCCACTCAAGCCTGCCCCCGGGCAGATGCTAAATAATTTATTTTGTATTATTTGTTATGAATAGTATGAGATGTTGCGCAGCCGTTTTTGCAGCTACATACTCCTGAAATTCTAAAATTTTAAATAATTGGGGTCAGGAGGCCTCTGTCGCAAAGGCAACTAATCTTGATACTTTCTAGAATTAGAGTTTTTTTTTTTATTAAGAAGCAACAGAAATGACATTTATCTGTTTCCCTTTTTGTCCCTGGCTCTTTTAAATAAAATGAACTTAGTCATCCTGACCATTAGATTCGTCTTCCCCTTTAGCTGTCCTCAGTGATGTGTGGTCTATGAAGCTCATTTAGTTGAAGGTTGCTTTTGTTTCAAGTGCGTTTCATGAGCTTGAGCTATCTCTGAGATGATCCATACTGACACACTCTCTAGGTGACGAGGTGTTAGAGTGGAATGGAAGGCTATTGCAAGGAGCCACGTTTGAGGAAGTGTATAACATCATTCTGGAATCCAAACCTGAACCACAGGCAGAACTTGTGGTTTCAAGGCCCATTGGGTGAGTTTGAGGGTTTCATTATGCGTGTATGTGTGTGGGTAGGGGGGGTCGTAAGGGGATCCACTCACTGTGATATTGGGTCTCACGGTGTGGGCTGATAGTTCTGTGCTCAGGAGCCAACACAGCTAATCTGGCCTTGATGGGAGGCTTGAAGTGTTGGGATTGAACTCCCTGTGCAGACAATGCAGGCACTCTTCCCTTTGAGCCATTTCTCTGGCCCCGGCTTCATTATTTTATCCATAGTTGAACTACTACTATTAAACAATTATTAAGTAGTTAAATTATTAAACAATTTGTAATGTACAGTCCAAGAATCTGACTCATTGCAATAATGAATTATTTTGATAGTGCTTTTTCTCTTTTACTAGAAACACTTCACCCTAAACTGTGACATCTCGTCATCTAATCGTATTAGAATCTACCATTATAAAAGAAAAAGAAATATTCATGTGTTTATTATTATTATTATCTTTAGTACCTTAGTAGATGGTTAATGCTATTAGAATCAGGGGGCTGTATTTATTATTATCTAAATGCCTTAGTAGATGGTTAAAGTCATTAGGAGAAGAGGACTGTATTTACTATTAGTATCTAAATACCTTAGAAGATGGTTAAAGTTATTAGGAGCAGGGAACTATATTTAAAAAGAAGACTCATAGATTATAATACTCTACGTTGTGAAAAGATCAATATGTTTTACAATTTTGCACACTGATTTTTTCAGCATAAAAATTTTAGCAGAGGTGAGAGAGGATCTATAGAAAAATAATTCCAAAGGGAATAATATAAGGAAAAGGGACATTTTTTTAAAGAAACATAAAACTAAGGAAGTGGCAAGTACTCTTCAGGTTTTGTAAGTTGTTACCTGAAGATAGATGGTCGGCAACTACACCACCCCCGCTTTGCTGATGACATTGTTTTAATAACACCAAACATCAGCCAAGCTGCACAAATGCTGGCCAACTACGACCGTGAGTGTGGAAAGGTCGGACTACAGCTGAATCTTACGAAGACAATGTTTATGAGAAACAGCCTCGTTCCTGACGCCCCATTCACTCTCAACGGAACGACCATCTCCGAATCAACAGCTATGTGTACCTAGGTCGAGAAGTCAACATGACAAATGACCTGGCACCCGAGTTGCGCAGGAGGAAGAGAGCAGCTTGGAACGCCTTCAAGAGTGTTGAAGAAATAGCTAAGAGGACGAAGAACCTCTGGCTCCAGGCACATCTCTTTGATTCCGCTGTTCTTCCTGCATTAACATATGCCTCAGAGACCTGGGCCCTACACAAACAGGATGAGAACGCTATTCAGGTCTCTTGAAGAGGAATTGAAAGAACTATGCCTGGATTATCACGTTTCACTCAAATGAGAGAAAGAATCCGGAGTTCCGACCTCCGTGGACGATCAAGAATCAGGGACGCTGTCTCGTTTGCCAAGGTGTCAAAAATCAGATGGGCTGGTCGCGTAATGAGATTTAGAGATGACTGCTGGACTAGAGCTGTTACCGACTGGATTCCACGGGATGTCAAAAGACCGCGTGGCCGCCCACCTACCAGATGGTCAGACTTCATCAAGATCATGAACGATCGGTTTGAGGCTCTTCATGTTCCTAGAGCAAACAGACGCCACTGGGCTACACTAGCACGTGACAGGGACACATGGAGACGTTACTGGCGCACGCTCCAGCAAATCGATGATTAACGGGGAAGTCAAGTGATGTGACCTGAAGGTTTAAATGTATAATTTCCATTTAAATAAATTAGGTGCTTGTGTCTACAATATGAGAATCACCAAATAAAGTATTATAGTTGTATCCCTTTATATGTACTCATATACTAAGCCAATCTAGAAGATATTTATGTATAGCTAAATAAAGATAATGAAAAACCGTATAAACTGACAGTGAATTATTAAATGTATATTTTATATAAGAGCATTCTAGAACAGAGACTCTAAAATTTATTTAAAAAATTTTTTTTGAGGGGGGCACACCTGGCATGCTCAGGGCTTACTCCTCAGGAATCACTCTTGGAATTGCTTGGGGGACCATATAGGATGCCAGGGACCCAGCCTGGGTCAGCTGCATGCAAAGCAAGATCCCTAGCTGCTGTACTATCTCTCCCGCCCCTAAAATGCTTTTTTTAATAGAATCCTAAAGCACAGTTTTTTCACTCATTTAGAAAATTGTTGTACTATTATTTTGATATCTTTTGATGCTAGGCAAGATTACTTAAATTTGTAAGTTTCAGTGATATGTTCTTTTCAAAGTAACATATCTTTAACACACTAAAAACTTACAAATCTATTGTAGTTTTATACCATATAAATATTTTATGTACTTTTCAGAATGATTCAAACTTTAGAACCTACTCTTACTGGAAAATGTAAAAATTATATATTTTTTTCTGTAGTTAGTTAAAAAGTATTTTTTTAATTGCAGTAGAACATTTTGAATTTTTCTCAGTAGCAGTTGCATTAATTGTTGGAATAATTTCTTGTTTTCTGTAATTTCAGAGATATCCCTAGAATACCAGATAGCACACATGGACAACTGGAGTCCAGTAAGTTTGATTTATTTTAGACAAATGTGTTATTAATAGTGCTCATTTATCAGGGGTCAAATGAGGTATTTTATTATTAATACAAAGTAGAAAACAAAATATCAAGCATTTTGTCATATAACAATGAAAGATTTAGTATTATTTCATGTGGGAATGAGTATAAAATTTCATAATATTTTAGGGTAGCATTTTAGAAACCACACTATATGAACTACTATGTGATTTTAGATAATTTTGCTAAGGTATACAATAATAATGTAATATGCTTAGTTAAAATGTATAGTTATATGAGTGAAAACATCAGAGTTAGAAATAGTGACTATATGCATCACTATTAAAAGCTTCACCCCTTCCTCTCAAATTTTTGCTAGTTTCAAACTGTACTACTTTGTAACCTAATCCCTAGTGTGAGGAAAGCTTAGGTAAATCTAATGAACAATTATATATATATATATATATATATATATTTTAAATTTTTATTAGTGAAACACCATGAGGTACAGTTGTAGACTTACAAATTTTTGTGCGTGGGTTTTAATTATACAGTGATCAAATACCCATCCCTCCACCAGTGCTCATTTCCCACCACCACGGATTCCAGTATCCCTCCCACCCCTCATCCCCCGCATCCCACCCTGCCTCTGTGGCAGGGCATTCCCTTTAGTTCTCTCTCTCCTTTTGGGTGTTGTGGTTTGCAAAAGAGGCAATGGGTGACAATCATGTTTGGTCTATAGTCTACTTTCAGCATGCTTCTCCCATCATGGGAGGATCCTCCCAACACCCTTTATTTGGTGTTCCCTTCTCTGTCTGAACTCCCTTTTCCCCTAGCATGTGTGGTTGGCCTCCAAGTCATGGAGTAAAATTCCTGGTACTAATCTCGGCCATTCTTGGGTATTAAAGACTTACAAATTTTTGTGCTTGGGTTTCAGTTATACAATGATCCAGTACCCATCCCTCCACCAGTGCCCATTCTCCATCATTTACATTTTTTTTAAAAAAAATTTTGTTAGTGAAACACCATGAGGTACAGTTGTAGATTATGGTTTTGGTTTGGTTTGCTTTGGTTTGGGGGCCACACCTGGAGATGCCCAGGGATTCCTCTGACTCTGTACTCAAGAATCACTCCTGGTGGTGCTCAGGGAATCATATGGAATGCAGGGATTGAACCTGGGTCAGCACGTGCAAGGCAAAATGCCGTACCTGCTGTACTATTTCTCTAGGCCCATTTTTAACGTGTATTTTTTTGAAAATAGAATCAGAGTTCTGATTTAATAGCAGAATTATAGTAATCTAAGTTTGAATGTTGCTAGATATGCAAGTGCGCTTTCTTATTTGTGATCCAATGCTGCTTCAGATGTTAAATGGGTATTTTTTCCCCTCTCAACCACGTATTTCTTGACTGACCGAGAACCAAGGGAGAAAGGGTAAGAAGAAAGGAAGAGGGATGGAAGTAGATATGTGGCCATCGGCATTTTGAGAAAGGAAAGATAGGAGCAGATTTTCCAGTGACTAGGGCAAAGCTGTCAGAGCGTGCGATTGTTCAACCAAGCATAGCAGTTTCAGGAAGAGAGTTGAGGTTTGGCTGGCTGCTGCAGAGGGATTTGCTCGAGCGGGCCCAGTAACATCTCCATTGGAGATTTTGTTGTTACTGTGTTTGGCATATCGAATACATCACAGGTGGCTTGGCAGGCTCTGCCGTGCGGGCGAGATACTCTCGGTGGCTTGCTGGGCTCTCTGAGAGGGGCGGAGGAATCGAACTCGGGTCGGCCATGTTGGCTGCGTGCAAGGCAAATGCCCTACCGCTGTGCTATCGCTCCCCGGGAGAAAATGGAGTAAGCAGATATTATATAGAAGGGCACCAAATTGCCCGAACTTCTTCCTTTTTAAAAAAAAATTATTGAATCACCGTGAGATAGTTACAAGCTTTCATGTTTGGGTTACAATCACAAAATGATCATACACCCATCCCTCCACCAGTGCATATTCCCCACCACCAATATCCCCGGTATATCCCCCTTTCCCCACCCTCCGCCTGCCTCTATGGCAGACTATATTCCCCATACTCTCTCTACTTTTAGTTGCCCGAACTTCTAAGTTCCTTCCCAGGCTTTGACTCTGAGAGCTTGAGAGCATTCTGTAACTGTTTTGAGGAGAAGCATAGATTTAAAAATCTACTGCAATGTTACAAATTGGTTATATGGAATGAGGTTTTCGAAAGCAGAGAGAACAGTAAAGAGGACTGAGCTCGTGTTTCTTTGGTGAGACAATGGTGGTTTAGCTTTGGTGCCTACAATGAGGGTGGGGCTGTGCTCTCAGATCCTTGGCATTCAATAGTTGACAATAAACATTTAAAAAATTGTCATATAATTATAGGTATTATGTTAATATTTTAATTGAATGGAGGAAGCTTTTTGGAATGGGATAACATTATACTTTCAAATATGATCATATGACTACTTCATTTAATATCTCTGGTAGGGTGGTAAATCATTTTAAACAAAATAATGCCATAGGCACCTAAACCTAGAACATTAGAACACAGGCAACCTTTTGCTTTTGTTTTTGTTTTTGTTTTATTTTGTTTTTGTGATTAAGAATCTTGCAGGGAGTATTTAAGACCATTAGCTTGTAAAAAGAATTTGAGCATTTCCTATTTTCATTCTAAACTCTTTTTTAAAGTACTTATTCTGTGCTATTTTGGAATGATCTTATTCTTATTCTTATTCTTATTCTTATTCTTATTCTTATTCTATTCTTATTCTTATTCTTATTCTTATTCTTATTCTTATTCTTATTCTTATTCTGTGCTATCTTGTACCGCTTGCACAGTGGTAGGGCGTTTGCCTTGCACGCAGCCAACACGGCCTACCTGAGATCGTTTCCTCCACCCCTCTCGGAGAGCCTGGCAAGCTACCGAGAGTATCTCGTCTGCATGGCAGAGCCTGGCAAGCTACCCGTGATGTATTTGATATGCCAAACACAGTAACAACAAAGTCTCCAATGGAGACGTTACTGGGCCCGCTCGAGCAAATTGATGGACAATTGGAGGACAGTGCAGTGCAGTACAGTGTTAAGTATAATAACTATATCATCATTGTTCTGATTTTAATGAATCCTTGAAACTGCAGTTGTTTTACCTACATTATTACATTTAGTTCCTACAACAGTCCTCTAAAGAAGGTAACATTTTTATGTGCTAACATCACTCAGCTACTGACTGTGTCACCACAGTGGAGCTCTTTATTTTATTAGAGTCATTTAAAAAGTCTCTTGACTCCAATTCCAAACTTATTCCTGAGGAGACAGGAATTGTTTCTCAAAGTCCACTCTATCCTTTAGTCTTGAAGTTTAATATGTTAGAAAACCAAAGTTATACCTAAGTCTAAAGCCATCGTTTTTTTTTTTCCCATTTGCAAATACTATGAAAGAGATCACCATTACTTGTGGACCTAAGGCTTGTAGCGTCTTCTTTATTTCACATTATACTCTCTGGTGGTAGTACTTTTTACCTTCCTGTGTTTTTGCATAGGCAGACACTTCATACCTTAATTTCCAACACTCACATCTATTTGAACTTTGGTCTTCCCCATCTGCACATGTATGTCCACTTTGCATCTCTTCTTAGGTGTCTCAGAGGTGTCAGAAGATCAGTGTGGACCACTTTAACTTCTCTACCCATTGCCTTCAACTTGTAGGCCTTCTCCATTGTCTAATATGCCAGTGAATGTCAGTACTATGCTGGGCAGAAAACAAGAGAGACACATACGGGAATTTCTTGTCTCATAACTGGTACAAGGTCTGAAATCTTAGTGTTTGAGCCTCTTCCTTTTTCTCTCACGTGTCTAAATTTTCGAATCCTTATTTTTACTATTTACTGATTTTTTCCAGTCCATTTCCAGAGCATATCTTATTATTACTTTATTGAAATGAACATATTTGTTCTTAACTATTTTCCTTATCTCTTAATCCAGTTCACCTTTAAATAAGTGTAAAGTCATCTTCCTCAAATGCACTTTTTATTAGCTCTCTCATGAGTATTTAATGTGGTTTTTTTTTTGCTAGAATCAAATTACATAGCCTAGAATGTCAGGGGTTTAGTTCCCTCAGAATTCCATTAACCCTAGTTTTATTTATTTTCTTATTTTCCTTTCTACTTCATAGTAATAAATTTATCGTTCTCCTTTTTAAGTTGTTCCTTTATTTTTTTAGTGCTCTTCACTTCCCTTTTGTCATAATTAATTTATGATAGTCTTTTAGAATCGATGAAAGATTCACTTTCTACAAACATCTTATAAGTAACATTCTAATACTTAAGTTTTAGCATTACAAGTTTAGATTGTACTTAATTTGCTTTCAGTCTTGGTGTTTCCTCGTAAATTTTTAACTTTAAAATTTCTTAATATGTTACTGTAAGTTACAAGTTCTGTGCACATAAGAGAAAGTAACAAAATTCTAAGTCGGAAGTCTGACTCTTATATCTTTGGCACAGAAATGGCTTGTATTCAGTCTTACAAGAAAATCCAGGCTGTGCATAATGAATCTCTAACCTTGTCATGGACTTGGAACTTAGTAGCCAAGAATGGTCAATTTAATTTTGTTTTATGAAGTCAAGATATTTATTGTAAAAATAGATGCCGAAGTAGAGTCATTGTTACTATTCTTGATGTATAATTGCTGTTTCAGGTTCTAGTTCATTTGAATCTCAAAAAATGGATCGGCCTTCTATTTCCGTTACCTCACCCCTGAGCCCTGGCATGTTGCGAGATGTCCCCCAGTTCCTCTCTGGACAGCTTTCAGTACGTAATCACTACATTAGTGTCGTGACTTTTGTGACATCAAGAAATGTTTTGACATTATGTTATGTTTTATGAACCATGTTCTTCTTAGAGTATAATTGTGTTTTTACTCATCACTTTTTCCATATTTTGATAGAAATTGAAGATTTTAATTATTCAGCCTTAACATTTTATTAAAATTAGATTATCTGGAATTTAGTCAGAGCATTTGTGAGGCTGCTGAAAACTTTTTTTAAAATTTAATAATATTTTATAGTTTAAGGCTATGATATTTATGCAGTTTCAAAATGGCTATAATTTGTCATAGACATTTAAGAGCAATAAAAATACTGTGCTGTTCAAAGATAGTATATTTAAGATAAATATCAATAAATGAATTCTTCCTTGTCTTTCAACCATAAGAATATTTGGGAGAAATTTCATAGTTATCATTGGTTATGAATATTGATCTGAAATATAAGGATACTTAAAAGTTGACCCTTAATTAGTGGGAAAATAATACAATAGATTACTGAGTAGATCAGCTTGTTTCATATTAAGTGGACCCTAAATTTGAATAAACTTGCATTAAAATCCATAAATTCAATTGTGCATTTTCTATCCATATTATAAGAATTTTGCAAATACAAATCATCATTCTTCATTAATTTCTTCAGTTATTATCTTTTTAAAAACCATTAATATTACAATTTATATGGTAGTATTTTAGAAACATGTTAATAATATTGATGAGTCACTAACCTAAATGTTTTTGGGTATTATGACTATTTTGATTTTCAAAATCCAGATGCTCAATTTGGATAAAAACATTGTAATTTAAAACTATTCTTGGACTGATATTTTACCAACAGACAAAAATCTTTCTTAAATTAAATCAACTATGAAATTTCCCCTTTACACTTTTTTGGGGGGATGATTTTTACTTAAAAATTTTAATTAACTGAAAGATAAAGGAAAGGTAAACAGAATTAAGATGAAAATGTTTAGAAAGTCCTTTGACATATTTGTTCTGAGTCTTTTAATCACGAAGACTACAATAACAAAAGTTCTGCAAAAAAGGAAATGAGATATGATTGGAAGGTTGTTAATTGTCTTACTAAAATGAATTTTTCTCTTTATTATTCTCATTTCTAATAAATGTTAGTTGTTTATTACTATGATTATAGTCCTATTTAAATAGTCCTTCTTTAAAGAATGATCTTCTTACTGGATAATAGAAAATATGACAGTAGATACATAAATCTGTGTGTGTATATTGTGTTTGTGTAATTGGCTAAGGTGGTGTAGGGAGCGAGCAGAAGTTAGACTTCCATAAGTAAGTACCACTTTGTTGCCTCATTTAAACGTTGCCTCATTCTCAAGACCTGATTATAAATCAGATGATCGGGGAGGGAGGCAGGGTGAAAGTATTTAGACATATTTTAAGTTACACTGTGTTTCCTCGTGATCAAAATAAATATAGTAGAAAGATAAGACTGTTAAAAATATTGGATATAAATCTAATAAAAATGGAATTGAAAGCTTAATTTTAAAAAGTTTTGATAATGGTATAATTCATAGTATTTATATTTATAAGTGATGTTGGCTTAAAATCCATCTAATTGTTATTTAAAATGCTACCCCTTTTATCATTTTCTCATAACTTGAATGGGGGATGTTCCTTAAAGAAAGAGTATGTAAATTAAATCCACATTTTATTGTCTAATCACAAAAAGTACAGATGAACACATAAAAAATCTCCTATAATTCTGCCACTAAATATAAATATAAATCCTGCAACTAAAATATAACGATTCACATACATTACTATTTCAAAAGCTGTATTTTTACTTAGAAATGTATTGTACACTTTTTCTTTCAAAGTTTTTCTCTTGTAATTTCTCAAATGATTTTTTTCACACCATTTCAATTTAATTCACTAATATAGTATGTCTTGTTTGATTCTAATTTATATTATAATGATGCTATGGAAATCCTAGAATATAAATCTTGTGTAGTTTGTTAGGACAAAATAATTATGTCAGGATAATTTTCCCTAAGTAAAATTACCATAGGGAAGAAAAAAGACAAAATTTTAGATTCTTGAAATCTTTTGCTAAAATTTTTCTTAGCATTTTACCAAGTTGATCCAATTTTGTATTCACATAATCCACTACTTGTTGTTTTGACCCTATGCCAGCAGGAGTACTGGTTGCTGGAAATACAACAGTAAAAATGATCGACCTACATTTTAATGAAAATTCATTTCATTTTCATTCTTTGTCTGCAGGAAACATATGCAAGAGACCCTCCTGGTTATAACATTTCCCTTTACGTTTAACCCAATTTCTGCCAAATAGGTGATAGTTTTAGTTTTCCCTAATTATGTAGAGGTTGGGAAAAAGAATGTGTCTAAAAATATTTCTCACTGGGAAAAACCCTAGCAAGTCTTAAGGAATATTAAATGTTTTTTTTATCAATCTCTTTCACCTTTGGGATTTTGCTTTTGGTGACAATTTTGTAGTGACCCAGGACTCTTAGAAAATTATGGCAGTTCTAATCCCCGTAATTTGCAGTGTGTACACTGACCTTCCAGATGGAATTGTCAGCTCATGGGCAGCAACATTCTCAAATAGCAAGCATAAAAATAATGTACATGGATTGATTCTGTTTTCATGGTCAAGGCTGTCGATGACTTTAAAAACAAACACATGTGGTTTGTCTTCTTTTCCATGTTTGAATTAGCTGCTGTCTGTGCCTGTTGCTGGCATTGCCAAGAAAGTACCATTAATGTGTATGGTGAGAAAGCCAACAGGAGCTCGTCCTTATTTTCATTCCTTCTCTTTGGGCTCTTCTGTAACACAGCACTTCCTCTCCTCCAGATCACTGCAATTGTAGTTCTGCTGGTATTTTAAAATGAATTTGCAGTCTTTGGCTAGGCTTTCTGAGAATGTGTTAAAACAGAGCCTTCAACTCTTAAAAGTGAGAAATGGCTCAGAATTCTTTCTAGAATATTGATGCGTATGGGCACTCATGATTTTAGCCAGGATTTGTGGTTGATTTATGATGGTAACCTTTTCCGAAATTACTTTGTTTTAATATATTTTCATGATTAAATTTTCAGCTATGAGTTTGTAAATATTGTGCATATTCATTTCATTTGACGATCTAAAATTGTTAGATAATTAAAGGTATAAGAATAGGCATATATCTTTTATCTCTCCCAGGAAACTCAGTAGCCTATTTTAAGCTTTTTTTTTTTTTTTTGGTTTGCACCTCAATGTCCAAACTCATTATTCAAGAAGCATTGTGTAAAAGGTATATTATCAAGATAGCACAATTTATAGTAGGAAGTTACATTACACATGAAATAAATATTTGTTTCATATGATTTCAAATTTTTCATCTGTGTGAAGCTGAACTATTACAGATACCAATTTATGCTGAAATAAATGAATTTATATTAATTACAAATTGCATAGGATCCATAATGCTTCACTGTTCCAATATGAAATAGCTAGACTCCACAGAGACAGAAAACAGCCTCATAGTTGCCAGGGGTTGAAAACTGGGAGAATGGGAGTGATTGTTTAAAGATAGAGGAGATTTTTCTGGGGGAAATGGAAGAGTTTTCAAACTAGAGATGGTGGTGACGTTCTAGCCTCATGAACTTACTAATGTCGCAGAACTGTTCCGTTAAAAATGGATAATTGTATTCTATTTAAATTTCTCGAATTAAAAAAATTAAAACAAAGTATTTCTATTCCCAAGTGTAAGTGTATGAAGATTAGTTAATATTTAATTGCCAGAGATTTTAGACAACTGATTTCAGAAATCTGTAAGTTGTATTTTAGAATCTGGGGGAAAATGTTTGTTTCAAAAGATGAATTTGATGTCGAAGTACTATTTATTTTATTAGCAAATATTTTTGTTAATAAAATTATTTTATTTTATTTTAATAAAAATATTCCATTACCTTGGTATATTGCTAGGATAGTTGAGAGAGCAAGGAAATAAAATCTGTTTCCAAACAGAGAATCCTGTTAGTCTTCTCTTCAGCACGCCTGCTAATTTCGTTCACTCTTCTCTAGTTGGGGAGAGTTGTCCACCTCACGTCATGCAGGCAGATAAGTCTGAGTAACAAACTCCATGTCTGAAAGTTTGTCTCTTTCCTTGGAAGTGTCTCCACATTTGAGATTGCCTTAGTTTTTGGAGAGAGCAAAAGATGACTCATGTGATTAATGGTATAATGATAGTCTGCTTTTAAGATCTGCTTTCCTTAGTTTTAGATTTGTCTTCAGCAGTCTATGATGATTAAGTTGGTAAACAGGCCACTTAATACCCATTATCTGTTTCCAAATAGCAGTGAAAAAGTCTGAATTAGTTAACTACTTATAAGTCTTTGAATTAGACTGGAGAGTCATCCATGAGAAATGGAAGGAATTGGGAGGTAATGTTGGTGAAAGAAAAACAATTAAGTATCTTGAAATCTGTAAAATGTCTTGAAATCCAAAGCCCAAAGATAGGCAGCTGATTTTGAGCCTAGTTACATATTAACCATTGCATGTTTTAAGAAAGGCAAAAAAAGAAAAACAAAATTAACATAAAACCCCCACAACTGACTATTTTGGAAACATTTTCAAGATAATATATATATATGTATAGATACATATATACATATATATTCAGTCTAAGAAATTCATATATTTAAGTCTATATGATGTTTATATATTTAAATAATAAAAATAATGATAAAATAAATAATAGAAATAAAAATTTAAATATAAAAATAATTTCTATATTTAAGTCTAAGAAATTGTTTTACTTAGAACTGAGCTCTACTTTCTACCTTTATGCAATTTCAAAGCATTTTCAACTTTTGTTTGAGTATATCCAGCTTTTTTTTTTTTTGCCTTTGTTTCCTCATCCACAAATTGGAGATAACAGCAATGACCTCCTACTATTGTTGGAGGCAAAATACTTGGAGTAAAGGCATGGAAAAGTTCAAGTACTATATAGATAAAGTGAAATGAGACATGCTTACCTTTAACTAGTGTGGTTGCCAGTTAACCGTGTTATCTCTTGTTGTACATAATAAATCTGAGAATGATGTTTAAATACTTAAATCAGGTTTCATTTTTAATAAACTAATTTAATTCACTTAATTCCAGCTCATTGTTTCATTTTACTGTGTTCTTTCATTAAGAAATTCTAAAGCTCATTTGGTCAATGTTTTTGCTTTTTGTTTTAATGGATTTTTGGATAGACTACTAGAGAAGTCACATAATTACATCTATAGATGATCTTTTGCTAATAATTTCGTAAATATAAGTCTAACTTCTTTTTGAATTATAATGTTTTCTTGTGTAATCTGCTTCAGGGTGGAACCAGAAGTTTCTTAAATCATGGGATTATGATTACACTCATTATTTCAGAATACACGGCCTGAATATATGTTCATTTAAACTCAATCTTAGTTCCTGTTGCTTGCTGTTGTCGTATTTTAAAAATCTGATTTAAAAATTCTAACATTTTGTATAGTTTTTATACATTTTAATATTTGAGAAAGTTATTATATTGATGTGCTTTCCTTACATATATATATTATCATTGAAAAAAATTATATTTAAGGGATAGTTTTATGTGTTTGTTTTACTTTTGGTCTTTTAGTTCCAGCGTGTTGTCCTTTTTGGTTTTGTTTTATTGCTTTTTTCTTTAATTTTGCTTACCAGAGCCAAAGCCTTAGTAGAAGAACAACGCCTTTTGTTCCTAGGGTTCAGGTAAAGGCCTTGTCTGCCTGATAGAAACTAAAGTTGTGTTTAACCCTTACCTGTATGTTTTTGGAAAATGCGTAGTAGGAAAACCGTTTTTTGTATGTTGCTCCAAACCATATTATCGACTTACAAATCATTTTATGACCCAGCTTGTAAAAATTCTGCATGGGAATTAAAATTTAAAAAAATTTAAAGAGACAATCTTTGTTAGTGATTTTATATGATAAGCAGAATACTAAAACTCATAGGTTTCAGAGTGGTTTTCAATGTAGATTCCATTTGTATATGTGACTTTGACAGAAATAACTAATTTTATACTATTGGTATTTTCCTTTATTACACTAAGGTTGCTGTCTCTTTAAATCATTCATTATGTCACTTAACATCCACATACTCTTGCATTTTCCAAGCAATAACTCCTTGAGGAGACTGGCAAATGAATTTGTACTTTATCTAAAATACAAACTTGATGCATAGACCATATAAGATTCACGGTCACGGTCACGGTCCTCCTGTTGTTCGTTGATTTGCTTGAGCGGGCCCAGTAACGTCTCCATTGGAGACTTGGTTGTAAAAGTGTCTGGCATATCGAATACGTCACGGGGAGCTTGCCAGGCTCTGCCATGCGGGCTCGATACTCTGGGTAGCTTGCCGGGCTCTTCGAGAGGGGCGGAGGAATTGAACTCCGGTCGGCCATGTGTTGGCTGTGTGCAAGGCAAATGCCCTACCCGCTGTTTGGAAAGTACATTACTTTGAAGCAACAAAATCGTAATTTAAAAAATGTGTTGTCATTTCTTTTACATTTTTTAATTTCATTTAATTTTATTGTAATAATTGGGTACAAGTTGTTTGCCTCTTTTCATTAGGAAATTTTACATGGTAAAGTTATGTCAATATAGATCCTTATATAAAAAAGTAGTAATATGCTTCCCTTGCTTTGCTGCATGATTTTTGTTGTTACTGGTTTTAAATATTAATTTATTTTAAAATAAAACTAAAGCTATAGTTAAAATTATGTAATACAAAATGTCTACTAGTGCAACTTATGTTCTATTTAGAAAATTAAGAATTGACTATACAAAAAAAAAAAAAAAGAATTGACTATACAATAAAACTGGGTTGGTAGCTATGTTGAAAGAATGAATATGATGTCAAGGCTTTCTATTAAGTGGAGATAAAATATAAAAATGTAGTATCTATAATAATGGAAATACATTTGTTTTATTTTGAAAAATGAAAAGATATTTTTAAAAGCACATGTAAGAAATTTAGGGTGAATAAAAAACCTAGTTAATAAAATAATACTTGTTTTGATAATGTGAACTAGATATCTACTAAAAACTTCAATGCAAGCCATATAACATAAAATAAAAATGAACGTTATTAATCAAATGCCCAGTTTCACATAGTTTACAATTTTGATTTTAAAAATCAGTAACATTAGAATACAACTATTTTATATCTAGAAACATTTAAATTTTATTTAATGTCATTTCACAAGCTATGAGGTCACTGTCACTGTCCTCCCCTTGTCCATCGATTTGCTCAAGCGGGCCCAGTAACGTCTCCATCGTGAGACTTGTTACTGTATTTGGCATATCGAATACATCACGAGTAGCTTGCCAGGCTTTGCCGTGTGGGCGAGATACTCTTAGTAGCTTGCCGGGCTCTCTGAGAGGGGCGGAGGAATCGAACTCAGGTCCGCCATGTTGGCTGCGTGCAAAGCAAATGTCCTACCCGCTGTGCTATCACTCCAGCCGACCTCGTGGTGCAATGGTAGTGCGTCTGACTCAGGATCAGAAGCTATGAGGTATTGTTACAAAAATACCAAAGTCATATGCCTATTCTCTATAGAAATACAATAAAGAGTGCTATTTTTGGTTTTCCATGGCATAAAAAAACTCTCTATTCCTTGTCAAGTATTTGACATTTCTATCTCAAAAGTTTAGGTGTAATAATTTTAATGTCTCAAAATATGGAATGGCAACAAATTCTTTATATGTCTCAGAAAAACTTAAAAAAATTTAGTTCTTGTTGTAGTTAATTATGAGCCTAATCTAACAACAGTTAGTGCTTTCTTGTTTCTCAAGTGCAAACCTTATTAGAAAAAAAGAGTTTAGCCTTTCAAAAATTTTTTTTGTCTTGTTTTTGAAGTAACTAACATTCAGGTCACATTCCTTAGAGAAGAATTTTTAATACTCTGCAAAAGTAAAGCCCAGAGTTTTTGGTCTCTATAAAAAAATAGGCTATCATAAGTTGCACTTTTGGGACAAACAGTGATGTTCTAATGCCTGTTTTGTCTCATGTCTCATATGAGGCCCTCTCTCAGCTGCAGCGAGTAGGGCGTTTGCCTTGCAAGCGGCTGACCCAGTCGACCCAAGTTTGATTCTCCCGCCCCTCTCAGAGAGCCCGACAAGTTACCCAGAGTATCTCGCCCACCCCACAAGTCTCCCAATGTTACTGGGCCCGCTAGAGCAAATCGATGAACAACGGGAGGACAGTGACAGTGACAGTGAGGCCATCTCTGCCTTTTTAATTTTCCTATATAATGTCACCTTTTGTTTTTTTGCCAGGAGAAAAGCTTAGTGCTTTTCCCAACATGATCTTTCTATTTTCTAACAGTGTTAGAAAAATATATTGCCTTTTATTTCCCATTTAAGGTTGGAGGCTCTTTTTTTTTAAGTTAAGATACCCTAGTCTATGGCAGTGGTTCTCAAATGTTAACATCCATGAAGATCCCCTGGAAGCCTGTTAAAATGCAAATTCTTGGGCCCCATTTTGGTTCTGTAGTTGAGAGGTGAATTAAAGGAGTTTAAATCTTTTTAACAGATAATATTAAATAATAATGTTGCAGGAAGTTTGTGAACCTTGACTTAAGAACACTCTTCTTAACTGTTTTCACTTAGCAACTCTATCAGAGTTTTGTTTTATAGATATATGTGCCACAAATGTATAATAGCTACATCAAATATAGAAATGAACATAACAGGAAATATGAACTATAAATTTTGAATAATTTAAATAATTATACCTTCTGTTTTTTTGGGGGGGTGGAGTCACACCCGGCAATGCACAGGTGTTACTCCTGGCTTTGCACTCAGAAATTACTCCTGGCAGTGCTCAGGGGACCATATGGGATGCTGGGAATCGAACCCAGGTCGGCCACATGCAAGGCAAATGCCCTACCTGCTGTGCTATTGCTCCAGCCCCTCTACCTTTTGTTTTTATAAGAGGGTTAATCCCATTTAATAAAATCCAAACAATCTATAAGACATATATCATATAATATTTCTGTATATAATTTTATATGTCCTGAACTGTCAGTATTCTTTCGTCTGACTCAAAATTCTCATCAAAATAGACTTCCATCTTCTAGGATCAAAGAGAAGCACTCAAGAAAACCATGCTAGACTTAAAACTGAAATATTAGTAGTCCATATAATAAACATATTTAAGTATGATTAATATATATATACATATATGTGAGACATATTTCTATATTCCATGGGCTAACTTAGGTCTGTTTCCAAGAGATGAAGGAATGTTTAATGTGAAATATATATATTAAAATATCTTAAACTGCTGATAAACTGTATATATAAATTTTTTATAAAAATTATTAAATTTTATTAACAAACTTTATTAAATCAGAATTTATTAAGCCAGAATTATATGGATATACCATTTTTATATCTGAGATATATACACTCCCAAATCTTGAATTTTTTTCAGTTCAACTTCTGCTTCGAGAGCATGGTAGAGATATGCTGTCCTGGCCCAAACTTTGTTAGAGCATTAGCTCCCTTGATCTGGCAGATCAGCTCTTTATTTAGGAAGAAGGAATGGATGCAGGTGACAGTTCCTGAATCTATTGAAAGAACTAGCTGGATGCTAAGTTCCAACTCCAAATTATGGCATAGAAAAACCTTTTTTTAAAACTTGAATTATAAAAATGACCTTTTAACTTTAAAGATGTGATGCATTTGCTTCACCAATGAAAAGGTCTTTATGTCTGTGTAAGAAAACAAAAGATAAACTTCTTCTATAATGTAAATAAAACTAAGGAATTTTGATGTAAAGCTATTAGTCATTCTCACCTCAAATCTTTGGAATGTTTTGCTGTGAAATAATATGGAGCTTTTACTTTAAAATTCCCTATGAGTGCCATAGAAAAATATTAAATTCATTTTGAATACTTACTCTGAACTCAAAGAATCAAAGCAAAACACAGTGATTCTTGCTTAATGCTCATTGTATATAAAGTTCCTAGTTATGGAGTCTATTATGTGCATTGTCATAATCAAATTAGGAAAAACAAAAGCTCAAGTAATTTATCAGTTAAGTCAAATTATCTGGATTAATTCCACTATCCATTGAGGTTATTGCAGTATATCCTTTTATTTTAATTAACTGCAGTTTAAAGGTGAAATTTAAATCTGTGCTAAGGTCAGTGTAAGAGACTGAGGCAAGGGATGGGAATGTAAACATTACACTATAGTAACAAATACGTAAGCTGATGAACTAATATTTTTGCTTTTCAGATAAAACTATGGTTTGACAAGGTTGGTCACCAGTTAATAGTTACAATTTTGGGAGCAATGGATCTCCCTTCCAGGGAAGATGGGAGGCCAAGGAATCCTTATGTTAAAATTTACTTTCTTCCAGACAGAAGGTAGGACTATATAGCAAAAAAATCAATGTTCTTGAAAATGTATGAGAAATGTTCATGGTGGTGGGTATTTTAAATATGTGTTACATTGATTTTTATATTCATCTTAATATAGACAATCATGCTTAGGAATCAAAATAGTAGCAGTGAAACTGAATTTATCTTCAAACTTATATCACATATTTATAATTTAAAGTAATCCATTGAATTTTAAATTGTGTGGATTATTTCTTTTTTGTAGGGGCAATCCCCATTGGTACTTGGGGAACACCTGGCAGTGGCTAGGAGTTCACCTGGCAACTCAGAGTTGTGGAAGAGCATGGAATTCTGGGGATTCAACCCAGGGCCAACTTATGGGCATGTTCTATTTTGAGCTATTTGAGCTATTTCTTTGTCCCTCCTTGTCCCTTGGGTTCCTTATCTTTTTTTTTTTTCCTTGTCAAGCATTGCTCAGGGGGGCAGTCCTGGTAATACTCAATGTACCAGACTTCTCAGTTCAATGCTTGGGCCCAGCCTTGTGGACCTGGATCCCACTTGGTGTTGTGAGGAGGTTCCCGCTGTAGCAGAGTCTGAATATGGGCCCTGCCATATGGAAAGCCTGCACCCCAAGCACTGCATATATTGCCCGGGATCACTTTCTAAATAGTGTATGCTTTCACTCATGAAAATCATACGAATTATAGACTTTGAGCTCAAAAGTGTTTTTCACACAAAATATAGAGATAAAATGCAAGAGACCATTTGCTAGGCAAAAGAAAGGTGAGATGAAGCATAGTCCTTCTGCCCCTGGCTTCAGGCCAGGCCTTCTCCAGACTGGGTACTTTTTCCTCAGGTTGAAAGAGCTCAGCCAAGTTGGTTATTGTAAACATGTTTTCCTACTTTGGGACCTTTATGTATTTAATTCAAGTTCACCATCATCAAATTTTAGTGGGATGTCAGAAAACTCTCCGAAGAACAATCTCAACAGAGAAAATGACAAAGGAAATGTACAATTTACAGTGGTGGTGGTCACTCCCTTTGCAGAGTCTGTTATTTCTTAAGATGATAAAAATGCTCAAAGGACTGAATTTTGTAATTGGCTATTTTTTTATTTAAAAAATTTACATATAATCAACCCTTCTGAATAATGCTAATAGGAAATTGAAGCTTCTATTCACCACCCCTTTATTTTTTTAAACCTAACGAGTCCTTCTAAGTTTGAGGTAGACTTACTCGATTACAGTCTGTCATTTATGTGTGTGTGTGTGTGTGTGTGTGTGTGTGTGTGTGTGAGTGTGTATTTGGTGCCAAGGATCAAATCCAGGGGCTCACACATGAAGTATGCACTATACCTCTGAGAAGTAAACTTCTCCCTCTTATTTTTCTAATTTACTTTTTTCTATGCTTATTGCTCATTGTTTCCATCAGTTTGAATTGAGAGAACATCTTCATGCTTTTTGAAAGTGGTGTTTTTTGTTTTTTAACAACAAAAGCTCAAGGGCTTCAGGAACGCAGAAACATGCAGTGTTCAGAGAACTATGTGCACCAAAGATTAAACTTGGTTTAGTCGCATAAAAAAACACTTATTTTTGTAAAAAACAACTTACCCACTGTACTATCTCTCTGGCCCCAAGTTTTACTTACTTTTTTGAGGAAGAGAAAATTTGATTATGTAAAAGCCTTCAATGTATGTAAATGTCATTAAGTCATAAATAATAAGTGATGTGTTTTATATACCTTATACATTTTTATAGTATGTTTTAGATTTATAGTATTTGCAATACATGATAAATTTGTGGTAACACTTCACTAAATTTCTTACATGGAAAATTATGGTTAATGTTTAGGGTAAAAATTTAAAGTTTATTTTAGCTCGTATATTCTTATTTATTTTCATAGTGATAAAAACAAGAGAAGAACTAAAACAGTAAAGAAAACTTTGGAACCCAAATGGAACCAAACATTCATTTATTCTCCAGTTCACCGAAGAGAATTTCGGGAACGAATGTTGGAGATTACCCTTTGGGATCAAGCACGAGTTCGAGAGGAAGAAAGTGAATTCTTAGGAGAGGTATCTGGAATTATCTCAAAACTTATACTCTTCATGGTATCCTAAATATTTTTGTGTATATGTCTGTTCATAGTGTTTTATGTTTTGAATACCTGAAAAATTACATATCTTCAATAGAATAAATTTCTATTACTTATTCTAGAGCAGAATAACTATTGCTTTAAGATAAAACTTACCATGAAAAGCAATGGTTCTTGACAAATATAGAATGATCTCTCTCATATGTGGGATATAAAGAAACATAGTAAGGGAGTAACGAGTAGCCAAAGGCAGCAGAAACTTAGAACTGGTTTACAGACCTGAGCTTACTGTGGTGGGTGGGGATATTGAGGGGGAATCACTCTGGTGGAGGGTGTTGTGTTAGAATGCTGTATGCATAAAACCCAGTCCATTAACATTATTGTGAATCACATTGCCTAAATAAAAAATTTTCAACAAAAGCAAAAACAACTCAGTAGTTACAATTAATGACTCTAAATACTTTGACAATTTTTACATTTGCCTTTATTGTAGAAATGTTAGTGTTGTGGGGACCAGAGAGATAGTACAATGGGCAAAGCACTTTGCTTGCAACCAGCAGACCTGGGTTCAATCCCTGGACCTGCCACCTATGGTCCTCCAAACACTGCCAGGAATGATCCCTGAGAAGAAAAACCAGGAGTAAGTCCCCTGAGCACAGCAGGGTGTGGCCCCAAAGCCATCCCCAAAAAAGAAAGAGAAAAAAATAAATCTCAATGTTGAATCCTGACATGTTGGTCTTATAAGTCTGTTCTGTATTTTGGCCATCTAACCAGTGCTCAGGAGAACCCCCATTATACTCTGCCGGTTGGGCCAGATTATTCAATACCAAGCATGGCAATTCGAGCAGGCTCAGCAGTACAGAAGGGTGGAAGGACTACTCTGAATCTCTGTGTTTTACAATATTTGTATGTCATACTGGGTTGGAACCAACTGCACAACTAATCATTTACTAATTTACTCATAAATTAGTTCTTAGTCCCTGCCATGTTCCTGAAAGTGGACTGATACTTTCTAGAAAAGTGTCATATTCCTTACTGGGAGGAATTTGCAAGAGACTGGGGGCTATGCAGATGAAGTTGCAGAGAAGATGCATGATTGGAATACAGACTTGCAGTACAGAGGACGATAGTGGTTCTGGCAATAATCCACAGAGAATGGAATTGTAACACCCTGTGGGAATGGCATTCTCCGTTCTCCAGACTCCAACACATCCAAGGTTCCAACAAATCCTTGGGTCAATTTAGTAGAGTTAAGGGCAGTGACATTGAAATTGGAGAGAAAGTAGTGAGAAATGAGACTTGATGGTATAACTGATACACAGATCATTTCTCTTAGTTATCAGAAGTTTGGATTTTATTCTGTAGATAATGAAAGTACATGCTGGGCTTCAAAGAGAATGACTTGATTGTGTCTAAATTAAGTATCTAAGTCAACGCCTTCCAGCCCCCACCCCTTTAAATGAAGTGGAGGGTTGCAGGATGCAAGACTATCTTAATGTTAAGTTACCTGCTTTCAGCCTTTTTCAGTGTGGTTGGTTTTCCTGAGGATATTACATGGTAATATCTTGGGTTGAAAACACCAATGCATACAGCGATCAGGCCGTATGAATATCTCAGATTAAAGAAACAGCGATACTCCAATACTTCAGTTGGGGAGGGTGGTTAGAGCCTCGAGAGCAGAGCCTGGCACAGCTGCCATCTGCAACATGAATCTGCATCCCAGTTCTTCCCCTCCCAGCCACTATTCTGGAGCATGTGCTGGAATCTGCTTGGGCTTCAGTTTTCTCCTCAGCCCTGTGGCACAATAGTTGTTTGCAGATTAAATAAGGTGGGGGAGAGTATATGCTTAAACATTCAGAACACAGCGCCTCTCATTCTGAAAATGACTTGGGAAAATTTGGAGAATTAAAGATTAACTCCTTCTTTACCCATTCCCAGACCTAGTGATTTTTCATTTATGTAGCAATTCTCATATTCTTAAGCACACATGTAGAAGTAAGAAAACAGTTATTTTATGGATTTCCTTCGTAAATTTGCTATTTATATTATAAAATCTGTATCCTAATATGGCTTATTAAAATCCATTTGTTCGGTCTGATATTTTTAATATTTGTAATAAGTTCTAAGTAACTTAAAAAAATTAAAATCAACTCTTTAATCAGCAGGAAGTTATAAATATTGATCTTTTATTTACTTTCTGTTAAAGCCTTGTAGAGTTTTGCAACAGGACTTTGCCTTTGTGAGATGGTGATCTCACAGCATTACCATCTTGTCGCTGTTACAAGAGATGGTGAAAGGGAATTTCTATATTCCTGATCTGTTGTGGCCCTTTGTCTCGGCTCTCTGTAGATCTTAATTGAATTGGAAACAGCGTTACTAGATGATGAGCCACACTGGTACAAGCTCCAGACCCATGACGTCTCTTCATTGCCACTGCCCCACCCTTCTCCATACATGCCTCGACGCCAGCTCCATGGAGAGAGCCCCACACGGAGGCTACAGAGTAAGTTGTCATCCGACCTTTACTGAATTCTCTTGACTGGCACCTGTGACATAGAATGCATGTCATAGAATACAATTCACAGAACATTATGTGTATGTGTGTTGATGAGCATCTAGTCATGTTTTCATAGCTAGTTTTTTCCTTCTAATTTTGGCTTTTCAAGCAGTACTTAAGGGGCCGATAGGCCGATAGGCCGATAGGTAATTCTCCACCAACTGGGCTGGTGAGTCAATGCCAGGATTCAATGTAGGACTGCTTGGGTGCTGGGCATTACTCAGGCCTAGCTTACAGTCCACACTCTGAGGCCTTCAGGGCTGTAGCAGGTGCTGTTCCAGGGACCTCGCAGTGCAAGTGACTGAACCTGGGTTGGCACCTTGTGGAACATGCAACTTTAACCCCTTGCCTGTCTTCTGGTTATCAGTCATGATAGTATGACCCGAGAGGAAGCACAGTTTAATTTTAGCTCATAAAAATCTTAAATATAGAAATGTGGCCACTCAGAAAAATTTAGTCCTATCCCTATATGTGAGACTTTTCTGTGCCAAGTATTTTGTGAATATGTAGAAAAGAGAGAATAGCATAGTAGCTTAAACTATCAGCATGAATGTTCCTCAAGACGGTTTTAATTTTGATTCTTTTACTTGAGAATCGCATGATGAGGTAGGTTTTCTCTCTGTGACTCACTTTTCTTAATTGGTTGTGTACAACTTTTACTTTAGGAGGGAAGGGTTTATTGGGCCATACCCGTTGGTGTCCAAGAGCTACTCCTAGTACAATGCTCAGAGAACCATGCAGTGTTAGAGATTGAGTCTGGGGCTCCAGCATGCAAAGGATTTGATCCACACTTTGAGCTATCTCCCTGGCCCTTCTTGTATCATTTAGAAAATGGAAATAATAATTCCTAGGTTGGTTATAAGAATGCATAATCTTAGGACTATAAGCTGGTATTGTTGTTGTCACTGTCTTTTTATACATAATTATACATAGCCAAATTATAAAATAGAATTCTATCAATCTAAATTGTCTTAAGTAAATGGACATTTTGCAGATTGAAAAGTGGAATTTCCGGCCTCATTGCTCTTATAACAGGTTCTTGTTTTTTTGTTGTTGATTCTATTATTGAAAGGTGAGGTGAGTACTTGTTGCTTAGTATGTACTGGGTATCTTTTTTTTTTCATGTAACAAGCACTATTTTTGTCAGATAGTAAAAATGAATTGACATTAATAATACTTTAAATATTATTGTAAATTTGGCCAGAACAACAGTAGAAGAGGGAGGGCATTTGTCTTGCACGACCATGACCCAGGTTTGTTCCCCAGCACCACATTTGGTCCCCAAGCACTATGAGGAGTGATCCCTGAACACAGAGCCAGGAGTAAGCCCTGACCACTGTCAGATATGGCCCCCAGACAATCAAACAAGTTAGAAGTGAAAATGCCTGATGAGAGAGTGTTTCATGTCCTGTATCATCATGGTTGGTGCCGGGCGCCCCCTGCATGTTACCTCTGTGGGCCAGGCACTTCCTGCCGAGAGGTCATCGGAGAAAAGGGGACTAGAGCAGAGACCTGATCCCTTGTGACAGTTGGACATAGGGAAACTTCCCTGGTAAAAATAATCTCTACTCACTGGGATTTTATTTCCACAAGATGTCATTTTGTAGGTATTATTGATCAAATACTAATTTTACATCACTGGATTTTTTTCAACTTCCCTTCAGAATGACACTCAGTCACTTTTATTTTCAGTTGTCATTACAACATCCTTTTTGTACCACGTACATGAGCATGAATTTTTTGTGAACTAATTTTATAGGCTTTCCTCTTCCCGGCCACTGTAATGTACTCAGCACATTATTATTTATTTTTTTGCCGGCAATATTTGGGTCACATCCAGCTGTGCTAAAAGCTTACTGTGATCGGGGATCGCCCCTAGCAGTGCTTGGGGGACCGTAGGTGGTGCCAGAGGGCAGCTGCAAGGAAGGCAGGTGCCTTAACCCTGCAGTATCTTTCTGACTTCTCAGCACATTCCAAGTCACAATAGAGGTTGGTGGTTTACTGCATGAAAGTTATTCATATAATTAGTCTGTGTTAGTTCTTATAGCTTAAGTTTATTGTCTGCTAACGCTTGATACCATAGACTTTTCTTTATTTCAGTTACTGCAATAAGGAGTCAGCTTGACAATTGTCAATATCTGAAAGTCATAACTATCAACTGTTTTCATTGTTTCATGCTTCCCTAACTATTAGTTAGGGGAAAATAGTATGGACTGGAGCGATAGCACAGCGGGTAGGGCGTTCGCCTTACAAGCGGCCAACATGGCCGACCCGAGTTCGATTCCTCCGCCCCTCTCGGAGAGCCTGGCAAGCTACCGAGAGTATTTGATATGCCAGACACAGTAACAACAAAATCTCCAATGGAGATGTTACTGGGCCCGCTCGAGCAAATCGACGATCAACAGGAGGGCCTTTACCTTTTAGTATATTGAACAGAAATGAGAATAGAAGACATTTTGATTAACTATTTACATGCATATATATCAATTTGTCTTGCAGCAGGTATTATCAATCATTAATTGATTTTGCAGCATTTAGTATTTCCCTATCCCAAAATAGTTCTTCTCATACTTAATCTTTAGTAATATTTAATTTACCAAAGGGTAAAATGTCTCCATAATGTATCATATAAATCTTGTTATTCTCTACCCAATAATCTCTAAGAAAATTAAGTTTAAATATTTTACTATGTGACTAAAATTGATTTTTTATTCCTATTATTACATTTTATTTGGTATATGTAGACCTGATGATAAATAAAGATATATACATATGCAGAAAGAAATGAAGGTTAGAAAATAATACTTCGTTATAGTCAGGAAGCAAAAGACACAGCCATTTACTAAGAAGGTATTGCTTATGAAAGTCAAATTTAAGTAATAATATAAATAATAAAATATATCAGTTATTTTAAAAATGTACTGATGACAGAATGCACTTTAAAGACTTCCCCCAGGAGAGAATAAAAGTTTCATTTATTAATAATATATTTTCTGTTGTCAAAGATCACAAACATCATAATGAAGATATTTGCATGAACATTTGTTAAAAAAAGATACAATAAACCCTCATTTAGTCATTTTGTTCATGTAATAAAATGCTTTGGTGACTTGTTCTATCACTGAGGTGATGACCTGGTTGAAGTAAGTTGTGTATTTATTGATAACTAGCGGCAATTGAAGGTTTTTTTCTGTTAATTATTTTCTAATTAATTAAACTTATGGGGTTCATAGCTAGTGGTGCTCGGTATTTACTCTGGACTGGTGCTCAGGAATCATTTATAGTTATAGTGTGGGGATCATATGTGGTACTATGGATCAAACTGGGGTCAGCTTCATGCAAGACAAGTACCTTAACCCTATATATCAATTCTGCTCCATGATTTTCTATTTTATACATTCAAATGGGCAGGAGCGATAGCACAGTGGGTAGGGTGTTTGCTTTGAATGAAGCCAACGTGGCCGACCTGAGTTCGATTCTCCGCCCCTGTCAGAGAGTCCGGCAAGCTACCAAGAGTATCTTGCCCGTACGGCAAAGCCTGGCAAGCTACTCGTGACGTATTCGATATGGCAAACAAAGTAACAAGTCTCACAATGTTACTGGGCCCGCTCAAGCAAATTGATGAATAGCGGGAGGACAGTGATACAGTGATAGATTTAAATGATTCAAAGTGGTGTATCATTTACATGAAATGTAATAATTTCTCATTTTATTAATAAGAGGAAATATCTTAAAACCATTAAAAAGTTTTTTGGGGGGCTGGAGAGATAGCACAGCGGGTAGGGCATTTGCCTTGCACGTGGCTGACCTGGGTTTGATTCCCAGCATCCCATATGATCCCCTGAGCACCGCCAAGAGTGACTCCTAAGTGCAGAGCCAGGAGTAACCCCTTGTATCTCCAGGCATGACCCAAAAAAGCAAAAAAAAAAATTTAAAAAATTTAAAAAACCATTATAAATTTTTGAATGCTTCTTACAGTTAATGTTTAGACAGTCATTTTTAGATGGAATTTGATTATAAGCTTTGAAATATTTTATAAAAGGACTGCTAACAGCATTGGAAAAAATTATATAAAACACCTCTAGAAATGGTAGCATGTTAATTGCTCAAAGTTTTCTGAAAAGAAATGAGATTATGTGGATTGGACTGGAGGTGAAATAGAGAGTGATGGAGTATCATGGCTTTGTTTTTGGAGGGTGTGATAACTTTATACATAAGTGTCACACTGTTGTTAACCAAATTAACAATATATTGTTAACACCATATTAACAACATATTAACAACATATTGTTAACCATATGGTTTTGCCTGACCGATATCGCTGTTGTCCCAAAATTCCAAATGGGATCGGAACACTGTCTCCTTCGTGCAAAATTCTACTTCACAGAGCTGGGAGAAAGGACTGCAAAGTTTAAGAAGAGAACTCTGAGAATGACCACCAACTGGGAGCTCTTTGGCACTCTTGCTGCAACATGAGAAGATGCTGTGGTTGACAGCACTGACAAGGAATACGATTGACTGGTTAAGCACCTCCATGATTGTGCAAGGAATGCCAAGAGAGAGATAGCCACATAAAAAGCCTGTCTTCGAAAACTCTTGAGCTTATTCGCCAGTGTGATTTGGCTCATGCCTCAGGCAACCGCAAGCGAATGTCCAAGCTCGCAAAGCAGTGCAGAGATGCGATAAAGGAAGACCTCAAAGAAACAAGAGCAGCAGTGCTGGTAGATTTGGCAGAAAACAGGAAAAGCATTCGTAACTCCCACCTGTACTTCGCCAACTATAAGACCAAGATGACTGCCCTCCGATGTCCTGATGGATCTATCACATCTTCTAGAAGGGCAATGGAGAAGATTATCCATGACTTCTACTCAGATCTCTTTGACAGCCATGTCCACCTGCCCATTTATCAAATTCTACAGGATGGATATGTCGTTCCCAACGTTCTC